CCATCATTGGGAGGGCCAGGTTTGTGAACCTCATTAATGTATGGCAGTCATGGTCAAATGTATCCGTCTGACGTCAGAAAGTTGTGGAAGTGCGGAACGAGACATGTTTTGAGCTTGAAAAATGATAGTTTTCATGGCACAATGAAGTCTTTTATCTCAAAAGATCAAGGATAAATTGATTCCTCATGATATGAACCTAAAATGTTGAAACACTACGCTTTGACAGGGAGAAATTCTCCTTTTCCCAACAAGCTCGGTGTGTGTGTGTGTGTGTGTGTGTGTTACTGGAAGTCTGGGCACATCTCGCTTCTTCAATTAGGCTATTTGCAGAATTTTCCTCACTGTTAAAAATGGCCGAAAAATAAACAGATGATTCACTATAATGTTCCCGTAACACTCCTCCCTCTCCTTTCTGTCTCTCTCTCCTACCCATTGCCTCTCAGACGTTTATTATGGACTGTGAGGTGCTTTATTATGCTACTTTATTAAATTAGTCTTTAAAGCAGCTAGTGATGTCTGCTGGGTCAAAGAATAAAGACGGAAGTGCACGAACACAGGTTGAGCTTGGAGATATAATGCCTCTCTTGTCAGCCTTTGTCGAGTTTATCCCTCGAATTAAAGAAAATATGACTGGAAGGTGAATATAACTAGGACAGAATCATCCTTTATATCCTTTTTTTGTCAAACGCTGAGTAGGATTGCATGCATGCTAAAGCAGCCATGCGCACATTCAGTGGCTAAATCTGCACTGCATGCTTGACCATTTGTTTTCACTGTAATGAAACGTCTGTTCATTTTTATCAAACGCATTCCATTCATTTGCCATCCGATATTGGCTCCATTCATATTTAGCGTCAGTGGTGACGAAAGCTGCCACTCGCCGTTAGCAATGTCCACCAGCGTTGCTTTGAAGAAACATTCTTATGATGCATACATAGCAGAACGATTGTTAATAGCATTAGTGTGATGATACCACCGTTAAAAGTCGCAGAACACTCGCACAAATGCAAGATTTTTACCCTCCCAAAGGAAAGAAAAATCTCAAATGAAGAAAACGACAGCAGATATGATCCCTTTAAAGCATGTAATCAAACTTTCCCAAAGAGCCAGTAGGAGTTGTATCTATACTTTTATCTTTATTTTTATGATCTGCAATATGCATAACTAAGTGTTTATATATATATATATATATATATATATATATGGGTGTGGCATGCATTATTTAATGGATGACACACCTGGCAGGTGTTTTAAACACACATACATACATAGCAATGTATGTACACTCCTTTATTTACAGAAACACAGAATGATATCTGTGGAAAAATAACACAGAAAATGATTTTGTTAAGATATTTACATGCCCTCTGAGAGATGTGTGCCAAAAATGCAAATACAGTCCAACTCGAAACCCCTGACTATAATCTTCTCTTCTCTTCTCTTCTCTTCTCTTCTCTTCTCTTCTCTTCTCTTCTCTTCTCTTCTCTTCTCTTCTCTTCTCTTCTCTTCTCTGTGGTCAAATGCTTCACTTTTCTGGGGTATTTTTGCAATGACTCTTCTCTTCTCTTCTCTTCTCTTCTCTTCTCTTCTCTTTTCTTCTCTTTTCTTCTCTTCTCTTCTCTTCTCTTCTCTTTTCTTCTCTTCTCTTTTCTTCTCTTCTCTTCTCTTTTCTTCTCTTCTCTTCTCTGTGGTCAAATGCTTCACTTTTCTGGGGTATTTTTGCAATGACTTAGGGTTTTTTAAAAAACGAATGCAGCTAGTTTGATAGGTTTTTAGGTAATAACTTTTCTACACACTGAACAAATTTGGTGTATTTGTGCAAATAAAGTGTCTAAATATTTCTTGGGCCATCTATGCAAAGTATGGAGAGCGTTGATCATTTCAAGATGCCTGTGCTTCTGTTGTTTGTGTGTGGGGGGTCCCGTCTATCAGGTTTATCAACTCCGCAGGTAAACATTAAAGAGGTATTATTCCATTGGCAGCACTATCATAAGTACACACACAGCCTCAGTCAGCCCGCGCCTGGGGGAGGAGAGGGTGTGGTTTTTCTCATGAAAGATGCCATCAACGCAACATATCTGACAAAAGTACAATACACGAAAAACACACACACAAAAATCTATGCTTGTGGCGAACATGCACATTTGTTTTCAGCATTATGGGACGGTCACTTAGCCGAAATCCAATTATTTTGCTCATATGTGACTCATGACAGTGTGAACAGCACAAACCACATTGCATCTTTCAATTCTGATTTGGGCCACTTCCATAAGTGGTCCTAAATCTGATACAGGTCAAATGTTTCTCAATGCAACATCAGTCTGAACAGTCATATCGCAATGCATGCGACTTTTACGTCCCTCTAGAGCAACATTCGTCACAATTCTGTGCTCATGGGAGTCACTTCAGAGATTTAACATACACACCTGAACTGAAGACTATTGAGAAAGGCAGTCAGTCTGAAAACTCAAGTATGACAGTGACCGCTCGTTTCATAAATGTTTAAAAACTATGCACTACTTTTTTGCATTCTCGTCTTAGTTTTTTTATATTGCGTGCTCATAAATTCGCTGGCTTCCATGGCACATCACACTATAAATAAATGCGTATTCTCTGCCCTATGACAGCCCTATTCCATATGACAGTGTGCTTTTTATCATGCTTTTGCGCATACGGGTCACTCCAGGACCATGATTTGTTCGCACTGGAATCTGATAGTGGCCACATTTACCAGCTATACAAAAAACAATCAGATCTGAGCAACAAATCAGAATTGAGCACTAAGGTTTGCAGTGTGAACGTAGCCAATCACTTCCATAGACACCTCCAAAAGATTTTTGATAAGAACATCACATTTCTAATTATTTATCATTTACTGTACATTAAAACAGTCCGAAGTCTGAAGTCATTTCGCATACTCCAAGTCTAATGTAACCACTCACACACTTTCCCACTGCATTGTGTCTGAAGTACCTGTTCATTAGTGATAGTTGAGTGAGCGCAGGCTACAGATCAGGCGTGCTATGGCAATGTGACCCGCTCTGCAGGAAACGGCTCTAAAGAATCATTACAAGCCAAATGTCAGTGAGCCAACATGATAAATATGACATGCATGAGGAAATCTAGCATTACACACGTAACAAAAAGATAAACAAAGCGCCGGATTGAACCAAAAGGGATTTTTGCATGTGCTTTGCATTATTACATGCCATTGCATTTTAAAAAACATAAAGCCAAGTGGCTTTTGCTCGAGAGCTTTCCACAGACCTAACTGGGCACCTCGATTTTACCACATTTCAGGAAAGAAAAAAAATGTATGAAGAAAATGAAGCCATTTTTAGGACCATACGAATCGTTTGCATCATTTGAATTATTTGAACGAAAATTTCTCTTAAAATAAGTTCTCGTTGCTGTAATGCAGTAAAAAATAGTACAAATATATACAAATGTGCAAATGTATTATAATAAAATATTATATATTTGATATTTTTATTAGGATTTTTTTTTTAATTGACAGGAGGATGTGCTTAATTGTCAAAAAATTTGACAATTTGAGTTTTTGAAAATTTTCTCTTTGATTAAAATCTCCTTCATGAGATTCACCCAACATCACTTTTTTTTGGATGTATGAAGTCAGTTTACCTCAAATTCACCCAGGTGTCCTAGCAGAGTAACCACAGGTGTAGTTCATCACATTAACTATGGACATGTTTCACTAGTATTTGCCCACCACAAAGTTTTAAAAAGTTGACAAAAACTGTGGTTATGCTTAAAACATGTACCTGGTGTGATATTTAGTGCAATTAAATAAATTCATTAGTGTCCAAATTATTTTTGGGGGGGTAAGTGTATGAACAAATATGACAAAATGTAAACAGCAGCACTGACTTCCCTTTATCTCCCGCTCTCTCCGGTTGTGGTCGCGGCTGCATTAGTGTTATGGATCTGTACCCCTAGCAGGCGTTCAGTGCTGTGTTAATTCAGCGGCTCTAATGCGGTCAGGCACTGCTGACCCCGTTGGTCAGAGAGAGTGGCCACTTTCATTGAACCCTCTTTGTTTGCGGCTCAGAGACGCACCCTCACTCTCTGAGCCCGAAAGGCTTAATAACACACCACAACTGACATCTGAGGTTGGCAACCATCTAGACCACGAAGGACTATTCGCTGTTTAATATTAACACATGCTGCTGTGCAGATATGTATAAACCCAAACACGATTTTATACATCGAAACCAACACTTACTCACAGAAATACACTGCACGGTACATTTTGGGAACACACACACATACAGTTGCTCTATTCCCTGGTATCATCTGCGGATGACTCATAGGTCTTTTAAAGCCGTCGGTGTTCTGAAAATAGTTCAAATACTCGTCGCCCCTTCTGAATACTCCACCTAACATAGTATAATATCAACACTATTACGCATCTTCACCCATTTAGCTACAAAATGCAACGTAGCGTGCAATAATAAACCTACCAGCTAAAATACAGAAAGAAAAACTCAATCTAATCTGTTTTACTTGGCACATGTTCTAAAGACTGCTCAGGTTGGTTTTTACTGCAGAAAATAGCACGGTATAAACCAGACACAAAAGAAGAGACTATCTCAACTCATATCACTTCCTTAAGTACTTTCCCTCGCTATGAAACAGTGCTTCCTTCACCGCAAAAGAAATGCAATTTCAACAAGAGTTGTGATTTGCAGTCTAGCATGAAATTATATGCAGACAATACATCAATAAAGCAGACAACACATCTTTCATTGCATACTGCAGTGGTTTCATGCACAAAGAAACACACAGCATGACCGGTGAAAGTTCTTTAACGAATCCGTTAAAATGACTCATTGAATAATTCTAATGCTTTACAAAACACGTCATACGAGTTCAAGAAAATTGTCTTGCAGAAAGGTGGTTACCAAACCAAGATAATGTTGCCATTGTTAGCGCTTCTGGAAACAATCATACACCTCGGTTAACACTCTTTTTGTACTCACGTCTTGGCTCTCGAGGTCCGTCCACGGTGACTTTAATAGCGCGGTGGTATGTGGCGACCTGGGGTGGGCCGGTGAACACTGTGATGGTCAATGTGAAGCTCTTTCCTGAGGATGACAGGAAGACACAATGTCACTTGGCGGTTTTAAAAGGTATTGGCATGATCCAAAAGTCTATGAGACCACGTTCATTTAATCCTAGAAATAAGCATAAACATTGTCGAATCAAGCTTGTTAACATGATCAAGTTTTGTTAATGTAGCTTGAGTGCTGTTGTAGGAGGACAAACCAAATTCAGGATTGTAAATTAATAACAAATCTATTTTCCTCTGAAAATATTATGCATATAATAAAATGTGTTTAAAAAAATGGAAAAAAAAAACAAGTGGTCTCAGATTTTTCGACCCCACTGTTGGTATGTTGAGTCAGATTGAGTGTAGAGAGAAACATGGAAAGTATTTGTGGTTTACAACAATATCAAATATTGTGCGGTCAGTGTGCCGATGACTAAATAACGTTCAAATGACATTTGCACACTTTTTCTTAGCTTAATGTGCAAAGTGGCGTATAGGACTATATCTATGTACGAGTTTTTCGATTGTAAAAAATTACTATGTTAAGGTATAACTAAAGTGGCATATACCGATAAAGAAACTCCCATGGCTGCATGAAATAAAAGATTCATGCACAATCCCAGTGAGGTTGGTCACATACAGCTGGGAGAAATGAATGAGTTTCCTCTGAAAAGAGACAGCACTACAGCTTTGATGCGCTTTCAAATGCGTTTATGATGTGGATTAGTCAGACAATGCGTTCCAGATTGTTCCCGGGACTCCGCTGTGTCTGTGTGCGTGTGTGTGTGTGCGCGTGTGTGTGATCTCTAAATGCAATGAAGCTGCGCTTTGAGGGGGAGAAAGCCGTGGCTTGTATGAGGGCTATGAGGGTGGGGTAATTGACTGCAGAAATGAAAGGTACTTTTAATTCGCACACTGCAGCGCTTTCCACTCATCCGTCTGCAACTATTTAAAGTGAAACATTTACAGGAAAAATGTGAGTGCGAGGAGCGGGGCCAAGAGGAAAAAGAAGAGAAGGAAAAGCTTGTGAAAGAATGTGAGCTATGTAAGAGGTAGGGTGTTTTTAGGTGTGTAAACAAGATGGTTTGTAAAGCTCAAATCGTTTAAGAAAATTCGGCAGTGCATGGGGAAATTATTTCTCTGGGACAAGTAACTGAAGGATGCTGTTTTAGCCTTTGCTCCACAACTCCTCAGCCTATGTGTTGACTAAATCTTCATTACAAGTTTAAATGCATGGCAGTTTATGCATTTCAGGAGTTCAAGTTGTGTCCTGTCTTTGCATGAATTAAGAAAAATTAACTGCTATGGTTTGAATCCATTTTTTTTTCATAAATCAGATCAAAGACAGACAGATAAACAGATAAATGTGGCACCTCTCCCGCTCCTTCCCACAAAGCGCAGGTCGTTGAATCGCGCAACCTGGTTCTTCATGACGGCTGACGCGTTTCTCAGCTCCGCGGAATAATTCTCATCATTTCCAGCCATCACCGTAACCAGAGTCCCGTCAGGAACATCACCAAGTGCCACCACCTGATAATAAACACACAGAGAAACCCAACAAACCTAATCAGCATCACAAACAAACCCAATAAAGCCCAAACCCCAAACCAAACAAATCCGGGTTGGAAGTTGCAAACCCCCAAAAATAATTATTACAACATAATCTTGCTCATATACACTGAAATGCATTTAATATTTAGATTTTTGAGAAGCTATTTTATTTAAATTACTTTTGACAATTTCACGGTTTGGCAAATAAAATCAATTTAAAAAAAAGTCTAAAAATTCTAAAAAAAGAATATCAATTGCATATAACCGAATAATAATAGATTCTTTTCACAAATAAAACATTCTAACCGTTGCGATAATTATACAAATTAAAATAGTAAAAATTCCATGAAGGGAAAAGAGAAACATATGTGCCGAATCGTCTCGTGATTTATTCAAATTCTGTTCATATTATCAGACAAGTAGAATTATGTCACCACGCTGTCAAAATAAATAAATGAAAAAATAGATAGATCAAATAAATAGATAAAATTTGCAACGCGCTGTTTGAATTATTCAGCGAAGTTCAGGTAAGTTGACTTTCTAAATGTTTTTTTATCAGTAGCCAAACTGGTAAACTTGCCTCGCGCAAAATAATTGTATTTTGGCGCCCCTATAGTTAACCACACGCCAACTAGCTATCTTACAGGTATTAAAAACGCATTTTTACCAGATAATGATAGTAAAAAATGTATTATAAAAAATAGTACTTGATTTATTGATGTCCAATGTTACTGATTCTAACGGAAAACGCTCGCGCAGTCTGATGTTGCTATGGTTATCTCCTCAGGAGAGCGCGAGCGGGAGCTATTTGGCGCTTGTGCGACTTGACTCTTTAATTTAGCCGTGAAATAAGATATATTTCAGAAAATAATTTACCTTAAAAGCCACAGGCAGAGTTTTGTTGCACCTCCAGTGTGACGGCAGGACCGAGCAGAGAAAGTTTGGGCTGTCCGTGCGCACCAGCTCTCCGGCGTGATCGGCCAGCACGTCCACCACGGAGCGGGTCTCCACGGGCCGCCCGGTTCGCAGCGGACCCGGTACGTTCATACCCGGGTTCTCAGTCACTTTAGGGCACGGGAACGAGGCGGAGGGCGGCGTGAACCGTCTGCTCGTGGTCGGGTCTACAGGAATATGCATCACAACAGATTACAAGTGAGACCCCGCGAAGAGCTCAGGCACCCAAAGTGAAGTAAGTACAGAAAGTCCGTGGCAGTGGACACGAAACTCCTCCGTGACCGTTTATTTTGCGTTTCAGTGCCCCACAAAGGATGCGTTAAAGTGCGCTCGAGTTTCCCACTGACTTCAGCAAAAAACAAAAACCGCAAGCACACGTAACACACACATACGAGCGCACACACTCTCGTGCTGCACGACAGAAGAGGTATGCCTCTCAAAGCATGTGGAACTATTATATTAAATGCACGTATTAAATAGCATTGATTCCAGAGTGTGTGTACGGCAGGTCTGTGCCGATCCTGGATGTCAGTTTTACTTTCAGAGCGACACTTTCCGTCCTATCAGTCCAGAGTCTCCGAAAATAAAGTCCACACAAATTAATCCCAGTTTCAGAAGAGTTTCTGCATTAAAGTCCTCTTTTGTTGTCAAATTTTCTGTTTCCAAATGAATATTCAAGCGTAAAAAGTGAAGAAAATCGAGAAAAACGTTTCTGGTAGTCAGACGTGCCTGTATGCAAAACGCGGCGCTCTGCGCTATGCAGACAAGAGTTATTTACTCATCTCATTATAGCCTGGAGTGCGCTGAGCGCTCCACCAATCAGCGATCAGGGCTGGGTCTAACCGACCAATCAGCGACCAAGGCTGGGTTTGATGGACTCATCAGACATGCCGAAGCAAAACTGAAAGCTCCTCTTTTCGTATTAATGAACAATCAATAAATATTTGAATCCTCCCCTCACATGTTATGACACATAATGGATAGTCTGCCAAGTGTAACCTTTAAAAACCACAAACAATTTTTTTAAAATATTTTCTGTTGAAGTTATTTAGCCTATGTCTATGTGCCAGTTTATCTTTATTGTTTTGTAAAGAAAAAAAAAATAAAGAATAAAAATAGTTATTTTTTTGCTTTAACAAATATACTAAGAGGCTAAAACAGCAGCAATGACAATAAACACATTACATATTTTGATAACATTCAAACAAATATCAAACGTCAAGCCAAACGTCAAACAAATATCAAACGTCCAGAGCGAACAAATATCAATGTTCGCTCTGAAAGTAAAATTGACATAAAAAAAAAAACTAATAATGTTGAGAAATTTCTATATCATCCATGAATCTTTGATTATGTATTTAATTTACTTTTTTTGCTAAATTAATCGAATTAATGAATTAATGGGTTAGCCCAATTATAGCTAATAGAACAACAATAATTATGATAATTTTATAAGTCTCATATGTTATTTAATTATAATCTAATGAGTTCTTGTGTGGTTGACACACCCTGCCCTGCGCTCACGCTGTCACCACTAGTAGGCGCATGTGTCGTTTAAAAAACCTTCAGTGGATCCTCAAAAAGTGATATAAAGCAACATTAAACTGACACTGAAGAGGAGGGAAAAATACAGAGAAAGACAGAAAATAGACTGACAGAAATAAAGCGATTATCTCAGTTGTGTTGGTCAGCTGATATTTCCTTATGCATCTTTTTTATAGAGTTAATCAGTTTTTTTCCGTGCCTTCGAATGTTAGTGATGATGATACAGTCAATTTTCTCTAAAACTGACGCTAAAATTGCAACAATACAAATTTATTCACTGGCTGATTAACAGGTCATGAACGCATTGTTTCAGACGAGAGTGCGGAAAAACAGATATCTCACTCCACAAATGACCCGACAGCTAATAGGCTACAATATATAGCCTATTTCTTTATTAATTTGGTCGTTAATGATTCGCAACACAAATTGAATAATTATTATTAAATGTTTCATTATATTCATACACACACATTTTTCTTTATCACAATTTAAAAATGATTTATTGACTACACACAGACAGCCAACAGAAGTAGTCGTTTAGAATTTTAACAGTAGATTATTTCGTAATGGTCATTAATATTATTCTGATTATTTATTTGCTCGTTCTGCGCCGGACACCGAGTTTGAGTTTGTTTCGGCGTTGAGATGTTTTGTGCAGTGGGCTTGACGTTTGACTCGTGCTGGCAGGATTCGAGCCAGAATTCTGCGGGTTTGCATGCTAAAGATGAGCTCAGTTTGGTTATGAGAGAACATCCACTCACTTAAAACACAACGACAACAAACAAACAACAACAAATACACGTGTGTGTGCTAATTAATTAGAATTAAATGCAATAAAAAACAACAGCAGTGTAAATATAATAGGCCTAATAATAATAATAATAACTTTATTATTATTATTATTATTATTATCTGGCTGTTATTTTTTCTGTTATAGGCTATTATTAGTGATGCTAAACCACTGATGTTTATCTTGATCTCGAAGTAGCCTAAGGAAATAATGCAGAGTCTCACCCACACTAATGGTCTATAAGTGAGCAAAAAAAAAAAAATATGCACATTATCTTACAGCTCAAGATCATTAGCATGTTTCATCAACAGCTCGGAGGATTTACATGTATCTTCCTCTTTTCGACGCCTTCACATTTCCACCCGCTCATTGCATCGCGCCGCACTGAGTAATAGCCTATTGTGCACAAGACGTGTTGCACACCGACTAAACACTTTAAATAAAGCAGAATAATTTGATTAATCACAGCAATGCTTGAGTCACACGTTGCATCACAGTTCTGTTAAATTAAGCATGCATTTCAAATAGGCCTATGAAGGGAATTACTGCATTATATTGTTGCGCGCTTGTTCTTCTCAATAATTTGTAAAAGTAATATTATAGCAATGTAGATTATATAGCCTACAATAATATGTAGTAGCCTAACATATGCTATAGTATAGAAATATATCCGTAGACATTTTAAAACTTCTGCTAAATGATTACATGGAGTAGGCTATGTAAATATTTTTTGGAGCGCAATCTGACAATATGATTAGTCTCGCGCCGCGTAAATGAGCTACGCTTTGGCGCCAGTTTTCTAAACGTAAGTCATCTATAATAATAAAAAAACTGTTGAAACCTATGTACTTATAAAGCTATAAAAAGAGAAAGCCATACTTTCACAAGGACACTGCAACATAAATTGTTATTCTGAACACGATAGTGCCAAGAAACCTCCTCAAACACAAGCTGGTCAGGGGTGGTTGTGGATGCATATATCGGTGTTTTTTTTCAGCATCTGTTTATTATTAATATGTGACCGCACGCGCTCAGACTGACTCCGCGCGCCTGTCATATTCAGACTCCGCGCGCAGTTTCTACGGTTACAGTCGCGCAGCAACGTGCCCTCCCTAATGACGCGCGCCCCTCTGATATGCGATCTGAGTGAGGCGCGCGCAGCTTACAGCCCGCGTCAAATACACATCGAGTAATCAAGCGCTGAGGAATGATGTGAGTTCATACAAAGAGGCAAGAGCCCTCAAAAACAGCCTCAAGTTCAAACTCAGAGACTCAGAGAGCACCCACATGCCATCATTCTTTACAAGGCTACAATGGGGCTAAATACCTCCAGGAGTAAAAGATCCTTTTGATTTTATTTTTTTCCCAAAACATTAAACAACATCTAAATCCAACACAGCAATTTCCTAAACCTGTTTGTCACTATGCATTGCTTAAACATCCTGATTTGTGACACTGCATGTGATGTCGTAAGGTTTTCTTTTTTAAGAAATTTCCCCTCGCTTTCAGACTTGAAAAATGCAGACTATTATGAAATAAACTATTCATTTTAAAAAGTAAATGATATGAAAGATTAAATGATCTGAAGATTAAAGTAAAACCCCATATACTTTATTTTAGATAATTATGATTTGGATAATTTCTAAATAGCCATTTTTTAAGTAATCGTTGTGCAAAAGGCAAAAGGCAATAAAAAAAAAACTGTTGGTTTTTTTTTTGGCACTGGATTGATATAGTATGCCTCAACATCAACAAACTGCTTTCCATAATTGGGAGGGAATAGTTTTATTGCAAAGGATGTGCAAATATGGCTCACACTGTCTGCTCCAATCATGCATTCATTTGTAATATACGCTTATACTAACACTGCAGCTCCAAGACATACACAACACCCTACTAAAAGAAAAACAATACTCATATAAAACACTTGAGGGCCAAAAGTGGTTAAATAAACAGAAAATTGTTTAACCATTACTGATGTGATTATTTTGATTTTGGAGCAATTACTCAAATGTTATTCCAAAAATGTCATGCATTTGTTGCAAAACACATTTGACCATATCTACTCAATATACAGCCAAACCAGAGGCCTTCTGCTCCCTTCTGCCATCATCAAAACTTACATCGAAACAAATAATTCTGACACAAATTATGTTGCTCAGTCAATACTGTATATCAATGGTATACTCTGAGACCTCAAAACAAAACACGTTTTCCTTAGCCCTTGTAACAAAGACGTTCACATGCCAGCCTCTTTATCCAATAGTAAGTCAAAAATAACTTTAAATGTCTTAAAAGTTAATGATGAAAGCATGCCGACACACACACATACACAAATCAACCCACTTAGATTTCTTGCAAAAGCAGCACGACAGTCTGCAGAATACTGAGTCAAAAGAAACCACAGATATTTGCCCAAAATGCTCTGCTAAAACATTACTTTATTAGTCATCACCCCTCGAACACACATACACACACACAGGCCTCCATACCCACAGATAAAATCAAAACGGGGCATAAAATGCTGACATAAGTCTGTGTATTTGCTATCTTCCCCCCTCTGTGGGCGGCAGCACATTTCTGTACATTTACAAATTACAGAGGGAGCAAGTCTGGAAGCCGCAGAGAGCATTCCTTCCGTACAGTGTCTCCTTGTGTTTCAACTGCGGGTTTGTCTGCCTGACAAAGCAGCACGGATGACCTGCAGTCAACTCTAAATCTCCCGTTTACATGCTTGAATTTCAGCCCCACCTCATATCAGGTGTCCCTATGACATCATCACAGCGTCCTATCTAGAGTGCAGTGCATCTTTGTGATGGCATCCTTTCATTTTCATTGCATGCAGCTAATACATTGTAAATAAATGTACATTCAAATACATAAATGCAAGCTCATATTAATAGGATATACAAGTGCTCTCTGTGCTGCCGACTGTACTGAAGCTTTACCTTCTTTTTTTCAAATACAGTGAAGCTTGTGGTGAATGATTCACTCTAAGCCATGATTTGTTTTATATTTTAAGTAAAGCATGTCAGATCAAAGCATATTTTGCTTTTGGATGAATCTGAATTGTTATTGCACAGGAATGACGGCATTCAAAGCGTATATGGATCTTTTCAGCGAATATAAAACAAACAATTATTTTGTATTTCTGTCCAGAAGCGCTCACTCTGTCACAGAGCACAGAATTAAAGCCATATTTCCTCTCAGGAACTGAATAAACTTTAAAAAAAAAAAAACCTCCTTACTCGATGAAATATCTGATGGGTTCAGATGACACTGTCTGTCCATGACACCTTCCTTCTCAGTGTCTCATTCATTATTGAAGCGATGAGATGCAAATACTAATTTGTGCATTTATTTTGCACATGCAGGTGAATGTATCTATTTTACAAGAAATGTTAACAGAACTAAGAATGCTCAGAGAAGTGTTATGAGACTCAACGCTGAAAACGCATAATGGAACGTGTCATCACAACAGTCTGTTTTTCATTGAGCATGCAGGAAGTGTTTTACAAAGAGAGATCCGAGTTAATGTTTGCGGTAGAAAAGTACTAAGATTTATTAGGCTGTTAGGAATATTGAGACTCCGCAGCAAGAACTGTCTGAGAAAAATGCCTCCCTTGAGAAATAAATCAAATGCTGTTTTATGGAATGTCATTTCCTCTTTCAGATGGATTTGGACTAACTTCATGGTGGTATAGTCGTCCTCCTGGCCCCTAGAGGAGGCTACGGCCTGTGCATCAGCTGAAGCGAGGCTTCTGAAACATCACTGGCTGGAGATACAGGAAACATCAAAGTAAGTTCTGATTTGCAAAAAATCACATACGGTCTCCCTAGCTCTTTCTGCTTGTTCAAATGTGCATGGCAAGTCCTCATAAACATCATCATCAATTCAGTTTTGAGTTTTATAGGATTTTGATTCATCAGGTTGAATCACTTTTATTTGCTCATGATATGTCAAGACACAAACACCTGCAAGCCCATTTGCACTCACATGCACACACACACACACACACACACATTCATGAGATGACTGTCTCTCACTATGTGTTTGATGCTGTGATACTGAATCTGTGATCTACAGTAATTACGTGTTTCAGAAAAGTGTTTGGCAGTTAAAATTCTGCAGAAGTTTATCTCATTTAAAATGTGCAGAGGGAGTTTGCATACTATAAGAGTCTAAAAGGCATAATAAATAATACATTTAATTCTATGAGCCAGAGAAAGGGTGTACAATGTGCATATAAAACTAAATTATGCCTTTTTTGGTGCAAATTATGGCTTATGAGTTAAAATCCTTTTAAAAAACCACACCAGTCTTAAGCTTCTAAACAGTCTTGATATTACTGCAAAAAACGACTACAACACATTTCACTGTAGTAACGAACAGCAGGCTGATTTTTCCCACCAAAATGTATCTCATTTAAAACATTTGTGTATCTCAAGCCAAAAAGTCACTTCAAGTCTGCTTTTTCAAAATGTTCTTTCATATGTGGTCAGACAATGAACAGCGTTTCATTAATTATACCATTGACCAAGCACTTTTTGCGTCTGTGGTTGACCCTGGCAGCAAATGAGAATAACCATGACTCTGTCATATGTTTATGATGTCATTCATACAGAGTCATCACCATTATCTCACACACACACAACCTTGTGCGTGGGAATTTGGGTGTTGAGGGTTTCTTCAAAGACCACTTTTTATGGTTGATTCTAATGCCCATTTTGGGCGGTCCCAGACGAAAGATGATCAATCAGGGGGATTTCTGTGGTCGTGGCTCCCTCGTCATACAGTAAAACAGTCATGCAGTTTCATAAAATAAAACAAAATTCTGTATCAAATTTATAGACAAGACAAGTAGTTTGTTCAGGCAAGGTTTTGTAGGGATTCACAAACCTGCACACATATATTCAAATGCACATAACTATAGAATCAATTCTTAATTAGTGAACGCCATCAGCATTTATCACAGGTTCGCGTTTAAAGTCTGTTTAGAGACATGCATAAACATTTTTACAAATCCGGCGTCTAGTTCATAAACGCCAGAGGAGAACCGATTGAGCCTGGGTTCTCCAAAAGTTATTTTTTCTCCATTGTGTCACTTGAAGGAGTTTTAGGACACCTTTAGGTCATCTGATGGAGTTTTAGGACAACTTTAGGTCACTTGATGGAGTTTTAGGACATTTTTAGGTCACCTGATGGAGTTTTAGGACACCATTGGGTCACTTGATGGAGTTTTAGGACACCTTTAGGTCACTTGATGGAGTTTTAGGACACCTTTAGGTCACCTGATGGAGTTTTAGGACAACTTTAGGTCACCTGATGGAGTTTTAGGACAACTTTAGGTCACTTGATGGAGTTTTAGGACAACTTTAGGTCACTTGATGGAGTTTTAGGACACCTTTAGGTCACCTGATGGAGTTTTAGGACAACTTTAGGTCACTTGATGGAGTTTTAGGACAACTTTAGGTCACTTGATGGAGTTTTAGGACACCTTTAGGTCACATGATGGAGTTTTAGGGCAACTTTAGGTCACCTGATGGAGTTTTAGGACAACTTTAGGTCACTTGATGGAGTTTTAGGACAACTTTAGGTCACTTGATGGAGTTTTAGGACACCTTTAGGTCACTTGATGGAGTTTTAGGACACCTTTAGGTCACTTGATGGAGTTTTAGGACAACTTTAGGTCACCTGATGGAGTTTTAGGACACCTTTAGGTCACTTGATGGAGTTTTAGGACACCTTTAGGTCATTTGATGGAGTTTTAGGACAACTTTAGGTCACCTGATGGAGTTTTAGGACAACTTTAGGTCACCTGATGGAGTTTTAGGACAACTTTAGGTCACTTGATGGAGTTTTTAGGACAACTTTAGGTCACTTGATGGAGTTTTAGGACACCTTTAGGTCACTTGATGGAGTTTTAGGACAACTTTAGGTCACCTGATGGAGTTTTGGACACCATTAGGTCACATGATGGATTTTTAGGGCAACTTTAGGTTACTTGATGGAGTTTTGGGACACCTTTAGGTCACTTGATGGAATTTTAGGACACCATTAGGTCACATGATGGAGTTTTAGGACAACTTTAGGTCACCTGATGGAGTTTTAGGACACCATTGGGTCACTTGATGGAGTTTTAGGACACCTTTAGGTAATTTGATGGAGTTTTAGGACAACTTTAGGTCACTTGATGGAGTTTTAGGACACCTTTAGGTCACTTGATGGAGTTTTTAGGTTCGTTGCCACTGTTGCCTTTAGTTTAAAATTATAAGTAGGTGAAGTGTGTGATTTCAGTGCCTAATAAAAACACAAAATAATCATTGTTCTCAAACTGAGCACCAACTGCAGTAGCTGGGTTTGGCTGGTTGTGATGCTTGGCTTTTTATAGTTTCTCCACATTAAGCATGGATAAAGAATAAAGTATTTAAAAGATTACACACACCACCTTCAATCTGCAAAAAACTACCCCCCCCCCCCCCCATTGGGGCCTAAAACAATTGCGTTAAGATTTTGAAAGATATCCCATTTCTATATAATCCATCTTTACAATCCATCTATAAAATAATTCATTTGGCATACATTTCTATTATTCAGCTCTATTTTTACAGCAGAACCGCAGTAATCCACCACCACCGCTGGGAAATCTGACCCTCTAGGAAAACTTCAAAGCCCCTGGAAAAGACCCCTGAGCCACTGCACTGAGATGTATTTTCAGACTTGATGGAACCATTTTGATGGAGTAAGTGAGAGATGAGTTTCAGTGGGCACACGGTGGTCCCACCCTGACAATAGATGGATGTGCGTGTGTCTTAACGAGGGAGAGAGAACGAAAGAGATGGAGTGACCTTGTGGTGGGGCCTAAATTCACACTCCACCCCACTGGCTCCCAAAATAAGCCATGTCCCGCTTTCATAAATGCCCCTCGCCACAGCCGCCATAACTCAGGGCTTTCCCAAAACAAGAGCTCATGTGCCGGCAGCGTTAGGAAGTGCGTCTGCCTGCCAGCAACCGCTAGGGCCGTCCACCAGCGTCTGCTTACCACATTTTACCCAGAATACAATGCCCCTTTGTTTTTGCGTGCGGTGGGGCCTCTCTCAGCCGGAACACACAGACACAGAGAGAGACAGAGAGAAGGGCGAAAAAGATAGATGGATAGATAGATAGATTGATGAATTGATAGATATGAAATAGCCAGTTCAAAAAATACATTTAAAAGCATGCTAAAGTTGTAGAAAAGAAAGAGGAGAAATGGTGTGAGATATGGGAGGCCTTTCATGTGGTTTCATGCGGAATGCTGTCGTTCATTTATGCCTGCAACAAAAGCCACATGTTTATCTTTTTTTTTTTTTTCGTTCAGACGAAGCGCTCCATCTCGCAAGCGTCTGAGAGGGAGGATAGGGTATGCTGTATATGAAAGGAATGATGGAATTTAAAAAGTAGGTCGACATAAAACAGAGGAATTCATCAAAACAGCACGCTTGTCAGAGCATGAACGCACGCTGTGAACACGCATTATTATGTTGATGAAGATTTTCTGACTGCAACGCACAAGGTGCAGATGCACAACATAACACGCCAAGATCATAGGTTCGATTCACAGGGAATGAATTCATTGCTAAAAAAGTAGACCTTCAAATGCAACGTAAGTCGCTTGGGAAAAAAGCATTTGCTAAGTGCATAAAATCGTAATCATTGAATATGGCCTTCAACAAAATTTCTGCCTATACGGGTTTTGACCTATTCTGCCTCTAAACAACTTTCCTTTATGACTGATGTCAACAAGCCCTCTTCTGGTGTGTTTGTAAACTCAACAGAAGGTGTCCTGTTAACGTTAATTGAGCTAATCAATTTGGGAGCATGTAAAATGTCTTTACCATTGAGTTTTAAAATGAGCTTGTTAACAGACTTGCTGCATGTTTAATCACTTGCCAAGTTTGACTTCCTATCAGTGGCCGGTAAAAGTGTTTACACTGCTGAGCTACTTTTTTCTTGCAAACATATTTTTCCTAAGAAGTTAATGTAAAAATAATGAAGATTTAAAACATTACATGTGCTGCTCTTCTGAAATACCAATCCGTAAATTATATAATAAATAATAAAAACATCTGTTGTGAACTCTATTGAGACAAATATGTAATATTCCATGTTTAACTTAGAATTTTTTATTTTATTTTTTTTACTGTATATACTGTGTATATATAAATAAACATCGCAAAATTAAAAATAATTCAATTTGAATGTAGGCTATATTATATAATTTATATAATTATATATATATATATAGAAATTAGTAATATTCTATGAAAAATACTTTTGTTTTTATATATTAATTCGTAAAAGTAGAATATATAATACAGTATAATATAAAATATTTATTGTTATTAATATATAATTGTATTATTTTATAAAACAATTATATTTATATATTTATATTAAGAAATAAACATAGCAAAATTAAAAATAATACAATTTGAATATCCATTAAGGAATATTTCTTGCTGGTAAATTTTTAGTTGCTCAGTTCATGTGGAAAAAGCAGTTAAAACCTGCATTGGGGACTGTTCCTGTAAAACGTTGACTCTAAATTCACTTCCTACATTTGGCTTTTGCTCTTATAAGAGAGGACAGACAAATGAAGCATGGAATGTCCAACAGGAAGTGACAGTGTAAAAAATTGTCATTAAGTTTTCTAGATGTAACAAAATCACAAAGTCATCACTGTGACATAACGAGTCAGCAGCATGATGTCTGTCATCTGTCTGCAAGAATGAA